AGAAAAATGCTCAAATGCTAAATCCTCACTTAGGACCATAAACACTATTTCCGGAGGATTTTGTTCTAGGGGTTTTATCAGCTTTGGCTAGGAAGAGACAATCTATCAATGCAATATTTAGAGTCATTAAAAGGAGGAGAATGCCTCTTTTCACCTTTACAAATGTTGACTTTCAAGGAGTTGATCCTTAACAAGATGACCCTATGGTAATCACATTAGAGATTGAAAACTTCGCAGTCGAGAAGATTTAGTGGACCAAGGATGTTCTATAAACATCCTATACTAGAAAACTTATAAGAAGTTACAACTACCAAAAGAGGCCATGACCCTATATGATGAGCCTATAGTTAGTTCTTGGGAGAAAGGGTGAATACTAGAGGTTATATTAATCTATATGCCACCTTTAGAGAAGTTGAGTTGACAAAAACTATACCTATACGATATTTGATTAATGCTAACACATTATACAACATGCTTTTGGGGTGCCCATCACTTAATAAGTTTGGCGCAATCATATCTACCCTCCATCTGACCATGAAGTTTCCTTCACCATCAAATGATATCATCACAATCTCCTTCACCATCAAATGATATCATCACAATCCATGGAGAAAAGAAAATGACACAAGAATGTTAAATTATAAGTCTTCAACTACCAATCCCACAACTCAACATTAACAACATTGAAAGAGACAACATGACTAATATGATCATGGAAGGAGAAGACCTAGACCCTAGAGTTGAGAATGATGTTAGTGTTAAGACAAAATCGTCTATGCTCCTAAACACTCTCATGTTTTGAAGTTTAACCAAATAACATTAAACAAAATAGTAATATGAAAACAACATAGGATGAAAATACAAAGACTTAAAACCAAATCTAAAAGCTCCTTGTCGAGAACCATCTTGGTCCTAGTTGAACAAACTCTTGAAGTTTCTTGCCGAGTATGACCTCGGTCTTGTTGAACAGAATCTCGAAGTTCCCTATCGAGAACCATCTTGATCCAGGTTGAGCAAACTCTCAAAGTTTCCTATCGAGTCCCACGTCAATCCTAGTTCAACAACATTTTGGAGTTCCTTACCGAGAACCATCTCGGTTCTGGTTGAACAAAGTCTTGAAGTTTCCTATGTAGTACCACCTCGGTCCTAGTTGAACAACATCTTTTGAAGTTCTCTGTCGATAACGAAGTCGATCCTGGTTGAACATCCTTCAAAGTTCGATGCAAACAACCATGTCAGTCTAGGTTGAACATTGAAAATAAACTCTAAGTTCCTTATGGATGGTTACCTCGGTTCTCATTGAATATGATTTCCCAACAAGGTGAACAAGACTTGCAGAACTTGAATGGTACATGAAGACTTAAATGTTGTTTCATATCTTGAGTACATGTATATATCAGACTCGACATGCAAATGTTATTGAAAAAATATACTAGTTATGTGAAGAAAGTATATAGGAAAGAGACGACTATTGAAAGAAGACAAATTTCATTCATAGGCCCTAAAGGAGCTCCTGGTTACAAAAAGATAGCCTTCGTAAATTTCAGCCTTTGCGATACACAAAAAAAAGAGAGTAACCTACTTAATAGTCTCAAGGTTGGTCTCATCAACATTCTCAGCTTCCTTGGTTATGGGGCTTAGATCAACAGTTAGATAAGACATCTCGGTGGCCTCGTTGTTTTCAACTTTAGCATTTTCATTGACATCGACACTTCCAAGGGTGGCAGTGTTATCGCCATCATTTTGTGCAACAACTATCTTGTCAACATCTATGAGAGCACCATTGGAGACGTCCTTGTTCACGTTAAAACGCTCACCCTTAACAGGAATTTGAAAAAGGAATTTGGCCTAACTCAATGCCTTGTAGAACTCAATATTGTGCTTAGAATTTACAAACTTTTGGTACCTGAACAACTCGACTTTTACAATCTTCCAAGCCTTCTTTTCATCGGCAAGCACAATTGTCAGTTGTTCTACCTTATCCTTGCCCTTCTTCTCTCAATTTAGGCATCAGATCTTCCAAGTCTTCATCCTTTTCTCTCACTCATCCTTTTCCTTCTCCCGTTTCTTCTTCATGGCATCATGCTCTTTCACCCAGGCTTCTTTGTTCAAGGCATATTATTTCTTTAAAGCCACCAACTCATTGGTCGTCTTCAGTTTCCCTTCATCTTCAATTTCCTTCTTTAGAAGGTTGGTTATCTTGTGGTGGGAAACGAATGTGCGACTTTGTAGTTCAATGAAAGCTTGCATTAGAGCATATGGGTCGCTCTTGACTATTAGTATTTCTTGCTCGTTATTTAGGTTGTAGAGAACATTTTAGTGCATGTTAAGTTGGGTGTCGACTAGTCCACCCCAACAAGCGAACATAATCCTAGAATAAGTTGTGTGGGAGTCGACACCTCGTCTTTTTCTCTTTCTCTCCTTTCTTAGTCTATGAATCTTTGAAGGTTGAAGTTTCTTGGGAGGACCTTGGGGAGGATGAATATCAACTATAGCATTTGCTAGGCCGAAAGTCAAAGATCTTACCCCTTTTCTCTTGCTTTCAACTAGCATTTTGTTCCTTAGCTTGCAGAACACATCGTCTTTCCCATGTTTTTGTTCGTGTTGGGCCATTGCTCCTACAAGTATTGAGAAGTATTCATATTAGCCAAATATTAGTTCAAGTTAAGTAAAAGAGATAAACTTACAAAGCAAAGAAAATTAGTTAATGATTGAGTTGATTAAACTCGAACAATTTTTATGGTAGAAAGTTAGTGTGGAAGTTCGTCCATGACACTCATAATTCTCTTATCTTCATTATTCATGTGATCTCTAGGCTAGTCTTTGCATCTCATTGGGTTATTGCTCTAGTAGAATAGGAATTTAGAATTGTTGTTTAAGTCATTAAAGTAGGAATGACCTACTCGGTTCACAACAACCTTAAAGAACTTAGTCTTGAAATTCTTAAAGGATTGTGAGTAAGAGCTAAACAAACATGTCCTCGCTTGACTGACTAAAGAAAGCCAGCTAATGTCTGACCTAGGGCGAGTACTATAAAAATGAAGAAAACATTGAGGTATAAGCTCCAATTTTAGGGCTTTACAAATTAACCAAAATGCTTAGAGACATCCCCAACTATTCGAATGAAGTTGGGTGAGACAACATTTAAAAGACGTAGTACACACATAGTAAACTCGTTGAATGGAAGTCGAATATGCAACTTAGTGAAGAAATCCATATACATGTAGAAAAATTCTCAATCATAGCCTTCTCGGTCATGATAGACATTGTCTATGGTTCATACCCTCTTGAAGGAGACAATATCTTTTACCTATCTCCATCATAAGTGTATACGCTATGCAGCCACCACATAAGGGTAGATGACTACCTAAACTTAGAAAATACAGTTTCACTTGAGGGTCTACCCAATGAAGACGACATGTTTGAACTATTAGAAGATATACTTGATACTATTTGAAACTAGATACTGGAAATTCTTTGAAAGATTTTAGTAGTAGAAGGAAGGCTTGGAGAGTGAAGGGCTCAAATTTAACGACAAAAGGTTACAAATATTAAACTTCCCAAAGTCACATTGATATTTGATGACCTAACACCCATCAATCAAGCCTCTTCATCGTTGCATTTCTTGAGACTAGAGGGCTACTATACCTATAAGGCGAGAGGAAAAAAAATACAAGTTTTCTTTGCATACATCAGTCAAACCGATACTGACATCCTAACAACAATGTAAAGACTTGAGCACATAACTTGTCAAGCTTGGAGACTAGTTTACTATATATACCGAGAACATTTTGGCCACTTGGCCCGAGATGATCTTGGCCTAAATATATTCGAACAACATGATAACATGTCGATCAAGACATCAAAAAGGATAATTGTGATTAAATTAAGGTAAAGACTAAAAAGCATTAGCAAACATTAGACAAGTTAATCAAGGTAATTTACATGGATCATGCTTATCCAAGTAAAAGCCCATAAATACGATATAAATAGTACAATACACGAGGTAAATTAATTATGTTTTATTATTACAACATTTATTATCATTTGACACACTTGACTAATTTGAGTATCAGAGTGCCTTCTATATACTAATTCTAACTCAATATGAACTTAAAGGTGTGAAGTTGAAGTTTGGAGACTCTTTAAATAGTTGTTTGTGAAAAACTTTGAAAAGCATAACGCATAAACATTTAATAAAGGGTAAGACTCAATGGTTTTGTTGAGGAAAAAAATGTGTGAAAAAAAGGTGAAGGTGAAGAAATTTGTGTATTTAAAACAATTCCAAAAGAAAGTGGAGTTTTGGAGTAAAAGCGTTGTAAACAGCAACTCGATAATTGCTTTCCAAACCTATATGCTATTTGTAATTAGAAAACGACTTTTTAAAAATTTTATACTTTCTGAAAAAATTAATATAAAATATATTTAAATATTCTGAATTACACGTTTTCCTAAACACCATATAAAATGTATTTAAGAATTTGGACTTCAATTCTCATTGATCATTCTAGAACGTATCTTTTTCTAAATACGGAATAATATTTTAAAATAATTTAAAGTGCATTTTGAATATTAATGAAAAACTTAACACCTTCCAAAATATTTATCTATAAAGTTTTCAATTCGAAAAGCTTCTTCTAAAATGGCATTATAATCCCGTTGGACCAGATGGAGCCAAGACAATTCCAAATTGGTATCTCAATGACTTTCCGAAAGGTTTTAAGAAACTTTTCAATAAAAATATTCAGGGTTTTAAATTTTCTGAAAGTAGTACGAAAGGTTTTAAATTTCAAGTTTCCGAAACGAGCCCTTCAGAATGTGTTTCAAAAAGTGACAATCTATAATTAAAGATTTCATAATAAGATGTTCCAATAGGATAAATTTGGAAGCTTCTTTAATATATTTCAGAATACATTCTTCAGAATTTGTAAGGACTTTAAGAGGTTGTTTTTGTTATTACATTTAACAGAAAGGTGCACCAAGAAAATAAAACTTTGTAATAATAGTAGTTAATCCATAATCACTGTATTAATAAACCATTCTTGTAATGCAAAAACTACTGATTAAGAACATTTTTTTACCTCTTAAAATATAAACTTTTTTATAGCAAGCAAAACCTCTTAATGAACAAGAATACATAGTTCCACTCAACTGACCAACAAGTTTTCATTAGAGAACAAGTCCGAAATATAAAGGACAAAGAAAAATGGAACCTAAAGGATCCAAATTTTCGTTGCATGTTTTATTCACTACCTACACATCCTTCATTTGTTTCTTGCTAAACAAACTACTGTCTCTGAGTTTCCACTTCATAAGTGGTTGATGTCTGAAATGATGTCTGCAATGAATTAGCAATGCTTCTGACCTCCGCAATCATTGCAACCACATCATTAAGTCTATTAACTGCAGACCCTACACCCTGTGAATAGGAACACTGCTCAATAACTTCCCTCCAAAAAGGTAGAACATTACATTGGTATAGTGAAGTTTATAAGTTTATGGTTGCTGCAAAAGTTAGATTGGGAAGAAATTTATTAAAATTCCTTACCACACCAGCTGCCCCAGCTGTTATAGCCATAGGTGCTGTGACTGCGCTTAGCCCTGATGAACACATGACAGGGATCTTAACAGCTCGTGATATGGAATATGCTGCTGCTAAAGTTGGTGTTGCCTACAATCACCAGTGATAAGAAAGTTGATAATTTGACGAAGGATTTTCCATAATCAACTATAGTTTTACCAATGCAACAAACAGCATGAATGTGAGTAACCCTTTAAGTTGTAATTGCTTTCTGGGCAGAACATGTTGCTTCAGAATTAATTTTGGGGGAAAGAAGAATTAACGACCAATTGTGAATGCCAGAGCAGTAAATGCAGCAGCTTAAATATTTTTTCAGACTCTTAACAGCTTAAATCTCCAGCAATGAAGATGCAAGCAATAGGAAAAAAGACAAAAGTAATTTTCCGGTTACCTTTTCAATCAAACCCATAATACCAGATTTTGTGGGATTAGAACCTTTTCCTCCTTCAGTTTGAATAACATCTACACCTTCTAGTTCCAATGACTCTGCAAGCTTGACCTGTTAAGGATTTGGAATTTTTATTTACATGCGCAAGTAAATATAGATATTATCAGCATAATTGTGAACTCTGATAGAAAGAATGCTGTTTGTAACCTGATCAGGGAGGCTTAGTGTGTGAGGAACAGTGACAGACAAGACTATGGATGGAAGTATTCTCCTTGTCTCCTTTGTCAGACCAAGAATCTGCAAAAGGTAGATCATCAACATAAAGAATTCAAGTGCAGGCTTCTATTAAGAGTACATTTCACAATCATTTTAGCATCTGATACTCACAACCCTTCGTTGCTTCTCTACTCTTTACCTTTTCAGGAGTGAAAATTATTCCCTTCTCATAGAATGAATCATAGTTTCCAATCTCAACCTGCCAAAGCCATTTAGCATGTTAAGTAAAAATCTCACAAGGACCATTTTGGAACTAGGCAAGAAGGTCAAACCATTAGTGCTCCTGCTTCAACTGCAGCTGGAAATGTTACAGGATCTACAGAAGAAACACAAACCTGCAAGGAAGATCAAAACATCAAATCAATCTCCTGATTACACTTGCATCTTCATGTTCCCTACGTCACTAGCAGTTGAAAGTTTAATCTACAATTAAATATGGTTGCATAGCACATTCAAAATATTGTCTGTACAACCATAAAAATTTATTTGGACTCTTATGGAATTATGTTCATAGAAAATAGACATGCATATTGCACAAGGTAAATGGCTGAATAGGGTGTGATTTCACTTTGGATTTCACCTTTTCAGAATTGATTGATGTGTTAAAGTTTCATGCAAATGCAAATTTAACTTTTGGGTATTCATTGCTTGCATCAATTGTTTTGATAAATGTGATGCTAGAACAAAGAGACCTACAATCTAGTTGGGAGTTCCAAAAGAATTAAGGGAAAAATTATGGTCATAAATTTGTAACTGGTTTGGATAAATTCTTAAACCAGTAAAATATACATGCAAAGTATAACTGGTATACATGTTCAAAATAAAGAAAAGTGAGAATATACCGGACAAGAAGTTAAGCCAATAACTAGCTTTACCAACTCAGGGTCACATGCTATATCCACGTGAGTTGCTCCACCCTATAAGCACAAGGGATTACAATTCATACACATTAACATTAGTATGTTAGTTTGTCTTTAAATGTGAATATTTGACAGGTGAGAAAGCATGACAAGTTACCATATACAAAACTCTATTCGGGTAATTATTTTTAAGGATGCAAGGATTCTTGATCTTATTTTTTCATGGATGAATTAAAAAGCTGAAGAAACAGAGAAAAAGTAACAAGAGAGAAGTAAAAAAATAAAAAACCTTGTCAGCAGCAGTGACCACCGATGCAACATTGTCTTTATTGAAATTCTGCAAGCCTGAGATAATCTTCAAAAGAAGCCAAATGTTTGTTAACATGTATGAAACAAAAATACACCAAAAAACATCATAGAGAA